ACTTGCATGTTCCAGATGATTAGGATTATATAGAATTCATAATGTTCTCTACTGATCCCATTTGTGTCATTTTGAAAATATCTTTTATTTTTTTCCTTTTTGATTGAGTTGTTTTATTTTGTTTGAGTTTATTATTTAGTTTTTAAAGTTTTAAATATCAATTCCTGCTGTATGCACATATAGCAAATATTTTCTTTCATTTTGAATTGTGTCACTTGACTCTGTGTTGGATGATATTTAGCTTGTGTTCTGACAAATAAAACTTACCTGGATAACAGAGCATGGAGATAGCATCTGGTTAACCATAGAGGTCGTCTGGTCTGTACAAACAGGAGACAGGAAATAATAAGGGTGGATATAAAGAGGAAGTGATAAGGAGGGAGCTGACACAGGATCTTGGCCCTTTTGGACAGAATATTCAGAGAGACAGAAGTTTCTTGTGGCTATTGTTATGCTTCTATGATATTTCAGGTTTTACCTCAATTTCTGACTATATTTTTATTAAGAAGACAAACTAAGATCACCCTTCAATTCAGCTTTTCTTTTCTATTTTTTATCACAAAATTTTTAGTTTCAGGTCTTATCATTTAATTAACTTTACCTTCATTCCTGTGCTTTTATTTTCTTTTATAAAACAAAATTTTAAAAAATGCGTGCTACTTAAATTATATTACAGTATCCTGCTTATTTTTGCATAGTATATACATATATATACACACACATGTATTTATATATGGATGTGTATTTTGCTTATATCAGTTTATAAACAAGCCTCCCGCCACAGATCTCATTGCTGTCCATAGTTCTATTATTCCCAACTTTCAAATGTATTAAATTGCTGTATAATTATATAGTTTTTTCTCTTCTTTTTTTTCTTTCTTTTTTTATTTTAATTTTGTTTGGTTGTTTTTTTGTTTTGTTTTGCTTTCTTTTGTTGTGTTTTTGAGACATGGTTTCTCTGTGTTGCTTTGGAGCCTGTTCTGGAACTAGATCTTGTAGACTAAGCTGACTTCAAACTCACAGAAATCCACCTGCCTCTACCTCCTGGGTTATGGTTAGGGTTAGGGTTTGAGTGCTGTGATTAAAGGCATGTGCCCACACCACCCTGCTTGATTAAATATAGTTTAATGTTTAAATTTTAGTTGAAAAAAGTGAGCCCTGGTTTCCAGTGCAAAATACTGCTCAGGAGCCATAGTGACTACAAAGAGGCATATAAAACCTCTCAAAAACCCAACCCAGGTTTCAACATTGTTATTTACATTTAGTAGAAACAAGAAAACAGAAAGAAGACAATGTGTAGAGCACACACAGCCTATCTCTGTTCCCAGGGAGCACTCACAGCCTCCTCACTGTTCCTTTTTTTAATTTTATTACTTTATAAATAATACCATTCAAAAATTCCACTTCTTCCCCTTCTCCCATTTCCCTCCCACTCCCGCACTCACCCTTCATCCCTCCCCCTCCAGTCCTAAAGGAGTGCAGGGTACCCTGCCTTGTGGGAAGTCCAAGGCCCTCCTCCCTCCTTCCAGGCTTAGGAAGGTATGCATCCAAATAGACTAGGATCCCCAAAAGCCAATACATGCAGTAGAAACAAATCACAGTGCAATTATCATTGGCTTCTGAGTCTGCCCCAATTGTCAGCCATATTCAGCAGGTCCAGTTTGATCCCGTGCTCGCTCAGTTCCAGTCCAGCTGGCTTTGGTGAGCTCCCATTAGATCAGACACACTGTTTCAGTGGGTAGACCAACCCCTTTGTGGTCCTGACTTCCTTGTTCATATTCTCCCTCCTTCTGCTCTTCAACTGGACCTTGGGAGCCCAGTCCAGTGCTCCGATGTGGGTCTCTGTCTCTATCTCAATCTGTTGCCAGACGAAAAATCTATGGTGATATTCAAGATATTCATCAGTCTGACTGAGGGACAAGGCCAGTTCAAGCACTCTCTGCTCCACTGCCCAGTGTCCTAACCAGAGACATCCCCGGGAACACTTGGGAATCCCTCTAGAGGCAAGCCTCTTACCACCCCAAACTCCCTTAACTAAGATATCTTCTTCCCTGTGCCCATATCGGTTCTTCCTACATCTAAACCATCCATTCCCCCAAGCTCTCCCCAATCCTCCCCTTCTCCCTTCTCTCTTCCCCTCTCCCCTTTTCCCTACCCCACCACCCAAACGCTCCCAGCTTTTGCCTGGCAATCTTGTCCGCTTCCAATTTCCAGGAGGATCTATACATGTTTTTCTTTGGGTTCATGTTATTACTTAGCTTTTCTAGGATCGCAAACTATAGGCTCAGTGTCCTGTGTTTGTGGTTAGAATCCACTAATAAGTGAGTACATACCATATTTATCTTTTTGGATATGGGTTATCTCACTCAGGATAGTGTATTCTATTTCCATTTATTTGCATCCAAAATTCAAGATGTCATTTTTTTTGTTGTTGTTGTTTTTTTCCCACTGAATAGCACTCTAATGTGTATATGTTCCAAACTTTCTTTATCCATTCTTCCATTGAGGGGCATCTAGGTTGTTTCCAGATTGTGGCTATTACAAATAATGATGCTATGAACATAGTTGAACAAATGCTTTTCTAGTATGATTGGGCTTCTCTTGGGTATATTTTCAAGAGTGGTATTGCTGGATCCTGAGGTAGGTTGACTCCCAATTTTCCGAGAAACCACCACAACTGCCACACTGCTTTCCAAAGTGGTTGCACAAGTTTGCATTCCCACCAGCAATGGATGAGTGTTCCCCTTACTCCACATCCTCTACAGCAAAGGCTATCATTGGTGTTTTTGATTTTAGCCATTCTGACAGGTATATGATGGAATCTCAAAGCTGTTTTGATTTGCATTTCCCTGATAGCTAAGAAAATTGGACATGTCCTTAAGTATCTTTTGGCCATTTGAAATTCTTCTGTTGAGAATTCTCTGTTCAGTTCATCACCCCACTTTTTAACTGGGTTATTTAGAATTTTAAAGTCTAATTTCTTGAGTTCTTTTTATATTTTGGAGATCAGACCTTTGTCTGATGTAGGGTTGGTGAAGATCTTCTCCCATTTATTAGGTTGCCTCTTTGTCTTAATGACTGTGTCCTTTGCTTTACAGAAGCTTTTCAGTCTCAGGAGGTCCCATTTATTCATTGCTGCTCTTATTGCCTGTGCTACTGGGGTTATATGTAGGAAATGGTCTCCTATGGCCATGTGTTGCAGGCTACTTCCCACTTTCTCTTCTATCAGGTTCAGTGTGGTCAGACTTATATTGAGGTCTTTAATACATTTGGACTTGAGTTTTGTGCATGGTGATAGGCATGTATGGATCTATTTTCATTCTTCTATAGGTTGACATTCAGTTATGCCAGCACCATTTGTTAAAGATGCTTTCTTTCTTCCATTGTGTGATTTTACCTTCTTTGTTAAAAATCAGGTGTTCATAGGTTTGTGGATTAATATCAGGGTCTTCAATTTTATTCCGTTGGTCAACATCTCTGTTTTTATGCCAATACCAAGCTGTTTCCATTACTGTAGCTCTATAATAGGGTTAGATGTCATGAGTGGTAATGCTTCTATAAGTTCCTTTATTGTATGTTTTGGCTATCCTGGGTTTTTTGTTTTCCATATAAAGTTTACTATTGTCCTCTTATGGTCTGTGAAGGATTTTGTTGGGATTTTGATGGGGATTGCATTGAATGTATTGATTGCCTTTGGTAGAAGTGCCATTTTTACTATGTTGATCCTACCCATCCAGGAGCATACCTTCCATTTTCTGGTATCCGCTTCAATTTCCTTCTTCAAAGCCTTAAAGTACTTGTCAAATAGATCTTTCACTTCCTTGGTTAGTGTTACCCCAAGATACTTTATACTATTTGTGGCTATCGTGAAAGGTGATGTTTCTCTGATTGCCCTCTCTGCTTCTCTATCCTTTGTGTATAGGAGGGCTACTGATTTTTTTCAGGTTGATATTGTATCCTGCCACATCACTGAAGGTATTTATCACCTGTAGGAGTTCTTTGGTAGATTTTTTGGGGTTACTTATGTACACTATCATATCATCTGCAAATAATGTATATTTGACTTCTTCCTTGCCAATTTGAAACCCCTTGATCTCCTTATGTTGTCTTATTGCTAGAATTTCAAGCACTATATTGAATAGGTGTTGAGAGAGTGGAGAGCCTTGTCTGGTTCCTGATTTTAGAGGAATCTCTTCGAGTTTCTCTCCATTTAATTTGATGTTAGCTGTCGGCTTGCTGTATATTGCTTTTATTATATTTAGATATAATCCTTGTATCCCTAATTTCTCCAAGCCTTTATTATAAAGGGAAATTGAGTTTGCAAAATGCTTTTTCCGGCATCTAATGAAATGATCATATTTTTTTTCTTTCAGTTTATTTATATGATGGATTACATTGATAGATTTTCATATGTTGAACCAGCCCTGCATCTCTGGGATGAAGCTTACTTGATCATAATGGATGATTTTTTGATGTGTTCTTGGATTTGGTTGCCAGTATTTTGTTTAGAATTTTTGCATTGATGTTATTTTAGTTGTAAAGTAATTCTCTTTCTTGGTTGAGTCTTTGTGTGGTTTTGGTATGAGTAACTGCAGCTTCATAAAAAGAGTTTGGCAATGACTCTTCTGTTTCTATTTTGTGAAACACATTAAGAAGTATAGGTATTAGCTCTTCACGGAAGTTCTGGTAGAATTCTGCACTAAAACCAGCTGGTCCTGGGCTTGTTTTTGGTTGGGAGGTTTTTGATGACAGCTTCTATTTCCTCACGACTTATAGGTCTATTTAATTTGTTCACCTTGTCTTGATTTAATTTTGGTATATGGTATTTATCTAAAAATGTCCATTTCTTTAATATTTTCCCATTTTGTGGCACACAGGCTTTTACAGTAAGACCTAATGATTCTCTGAATTTACTCAGTGTCTGTTGTTATGTCCCCATTTTCATTTCTGATCTTCTTAATTTGAGTGTTCTCTCTCCACCTATTGATTACTTTGGATAGGGGTTTGTCAAGCTTGTTGATTTTCTCAAAGATCCAGCTCATCTTCAGAAAATTCAAGGGACCCTGGATGTTTGAATACGGACAGATGGAAACTATTTACAACCCAATAAGAATCAGCAAGAAAATCAAATAGGTCTTGTAAGTAAAATTATTCTACTCTTATCTTTAAATATGTATTAATGTGCATTTATTTATTAATGTATAGAGCTGGTTTTGAAATTGGACTCTGGCTCAGTCTGTCTCCAATTCCAAGCCTGTTGGTAAGAGAAAAACCGAAGAGTTTCTGGATTTTCTGTCTCATGTCAAGAGCCATGATATGGGACAGAAAGAAATAATGAGTTTAGAAAACATCTTTGCTTTTCTTCATATCTATCATACCTTTCATTGAATATATCTATCATGCCTTTCATTGAATATGTGTATGTCTATATATGTCTATATGATTAATGTTTAAGTTTTTTACAATGAACAATGAGTTTTTCCTGCAGTGACACTTGAAGTTTCCAGGAAGAAGATGGGGCCCCACAACAACAACTCTACCTGGTTTATATGACGTCATGATACTGATAGCGCTACTACAAGACCTGTTTTGGGTACTAGCTGCACAAGATGGTTCCAACTTGGTTAGCTCAAATGGTGCACATCTTGTACAACATTCTGGCCAGACCTCCACAAAATACTCAGAGACTATTTG